ACGCTGAATGATGGCGCACGCACAATGGAAGAAAAGCACATGCATTCCGATCTGAGCGTCACATTAAGGTCGCATGGCCACGACTCGGATACGTATCCGATCTAGGACCACATATGAAAGTGACTCAGTCCAAACAGCTCTGAAACCATCAGACCACAGAGTCACATTAGGGCAAAATAAATAAATAAATAAATAAATAATTATAATGATAATAATCAGATTTGTGCCACTTCAACCTGGTAATGTGAACGCAGCCTAAGACGACTTCTGATGTGTCTAATATAGAAGTGTGAAAAGGGTCTAATCAGAGGATTCAGTGACCTTCAGGGGAAATTTGTACACAAGCATCACGTTTGGAAGTTTTGTTCACCACAGACAGCAGTGATTCTCAAAAACAGCATCTTTTTGGCCTCTAGTGAAAACAGATTAGACCCAGAATTCCTTATTTGGGCATAACGCAAAACACACAAAGACAAAGCGTCCTCAGGAGATTCGTGACATTATCCTTGGTATCGATATCAAAGCCAAAACTCTGGTATTGTGACAGCCCTACTGAGCGCACACACACGCAGCCCTACCAGCGCCATATGCTGAATACAGCTCCGTCTCAATGACACGCACTCCTGTTCCCTCTTTTTAAGCTCCTACATTGTCTCGCTCCCTCTCCCTTCTGCAATGTCTCTCTCTCCCTCCCTCTCTCTCTGACAGTGAGCAGTCGTGCAGCTGGTGGCCAGCTTCAGCAGGATGTGAAAAAATCACGTGATTACCCCCCCCCCTCGTCCCCCCCTTCTTTTTCTCTCTTCCCCTCCACGCTCCAGCCCCTCCAGTGTTTCAGCTGCAGGCAGCGGCTGGAAAACAGCCCTGGCAGCCACCCACGTGCCTCAGAGCTCCGCAGCCTCTCTCTCTCCTTTTCTCCCTTCACTACAATCCACCTCAAAGGACCATTCCACCAAAAAATTATATGTAACACTATAGGCATGGGTAATATTGCACTACAATATTTAATTACTCTCAAAAAAATGAGTACAGTGGCTACCATTTAACATGCTGCACATCATGTCCAGTTAAGCAGGGCTTATAATGCTCCTACGCACATGTTCAGTGTTCTTTAAGTACTCAGCGATACCAATTTCATACGATGATATCATATCTTAACTATGCTGGCCTCGTGGGACCACTCCACCAAAATTAAAGTTCACAAACAACCTGTCTTTCTGGCCAACAACACTGCAGGGCAACCCCTCCAAAATGGATCTAGTCAGAATTTTTCTACGTTTTATTGACGTTTCTGGGCCGACATCAGCGGATACGTACATTATATCGGCTTCAGCCCACAATTTCTACAACGCCAATTTCTGCGATACACAATATTTTTCACAGGGTGGTATAAAAGTGGATCAGGACAAAATGCACCAGTGAAATGTAATGTTGTGCTATATTTAAAAAAAACCTACTAAAAAAACGACTACAACCATTTTTATTTAACGTTACACTGACATCACTACATCTAATTGAGATAAACTACATCCAGTTAAGCAGGACTGATTATCCACTCTTAGGCCGCTGGCATCGCCTGGATTACAGCTCACAATTAACCAACAATGTGATGAAATCTTAGACAGCTAGGCCAGCTGGAGGCCTTTTCTAAACTGGTTTTTAGTGAAATATGCAGTTGCTCAGTGTTCTTGAAGTACTGACCACTCACACACACTATGCTCCGCAGTTTATCGTGATGATTTCATATTAAAATTGCCCACCTGGCCAACAACACAATGAGGAAACATCCTCAGCTCTACTGAGCACTGCAATACTACACTAAGTCCCATGAGAATAAACAAACAAACAGGATAAGTTCAAACCAGCCCGACATCCAATCAGCTACTTGCCACCGTACAGTTAGTATCCATTGGCTGTTGCTGTTTTTATGGTCCATGCAGGTGTTCATTGCTCTAAAAGTGTTGACGACACCCGTCATATTCTCAGAAAAGCGTACTGCGGCAAAATTTATCAAAGTAATGATGTTATATTGTCATAATACCCAGCCCTAGCGTCTGGTACCAACACCTCCTAACATTAATCCAGAAAAATAATCACTAACCTCTTTTTCCCCCCTTCTCAAATACAAAAGGAGGACCACTCCACCAAAATGAGCCAAACAGGCTCAGCTTTGCAGTTATATTCCACCAAAATTTAATATTTTATCTCCAGAATATTCAGGAATGAGCTTGTCCTCCAGGATCTCAGGCTGTTGTACACAGCATTATGAAAAAAACTAAAACTTGAGTTTAAATACGACTCAAAGTTGTGATGTGTGAATGTAAACCTTTCAGTCCTGCACCAATAGTTATTCATTCATCTACATATTTTAAGTATTTAACATATAAATAGACAGAATATTGATGGAAATACTGAATAAAATAGTCAAAACTTGCATGAAAGCACACTCGCTTAGGGTGGATAACTCTTTGCCAGTGAAACGAAATGCAACCGTTATGCCATAAACGCATTTGCCGAAGACTGTAAATGAGAACAGCATGAAGTTATGACTGACCGTGACCCGATCAGGAACCAGTGGACTAACAACGAAATGAAATTGTACATTTTTCTCATCAAAGAAAGAAACATAACAGTGAAACGTGAACGTAAACAGACGTCGCCCGACTCTGATTGATGGACATTTCCTAATCAGTTCCGTCTGCCTTCCATCTTCACGCTCTTACGACATAAAACTTGGCCACACAGTTAAACAATAGCCGTTCTACATTAATGATTTCTCTGTAAACTCGCTCCACATTTCTCTGAAGTGTTTTTACGAACGTGCGCAGAGTTTTATTCTCCTGTACAGAGCTGAATGGAAAGCTGGCTACCAGACAATATTTTAAAAATCTGCGGTCACTGCGGTATAAAACATCCGAAGAGGACTAGCCTTACGTTTTCCCTTTACCGTCACTGAACTGTTTAAAATTTGGGGGGAAAAAATGAAAAATTATAAAAGGTTAAAGTTTCAGAACTTCAGTTTCAGACAGCTGCAAAATCTCATTGTACATTTGTCCCTTAAGCAATTAACTTAAATAATAAATACTCAGTGTGTTTTATGCAAGTAGCCACTGATCTCAGGCTGCATGTCATAACATACTGACCACTGTTTTGTATGCCCACAAGCCGTCTAAGCGGCCTATAGTTTGTTTTGTTGCAAATTCTGCCAGTACGGCTCATATAACGAAACAATACACTGCAATATCTGCTCAAAATACCCTTAAATCTAAATTGTATACGTTGATATGTTGTCAATAAATGTCGTCTTTAAATGCGTTGGAGGCTGTAAAAGCGGAAGTCAAAGCTGGCAGGGCAGAGCACGTGAAAAAGAAACTGAAAGACGTCTGGGCGTTACAGTGCGGGAGGAGTTCGAGCTAAACACTATGTTACATCCGTCCCCAGGGCTCTAATGTGGTTTAGACTGTGTATCTTTCTTTCATTAAGGAAAGAGGCTTGTTATGAGAGTGTGCTTCTAGGTCACATCCAAAACATGTACAAAATCCATATGAGAATGCTTTACCAAAAACAGGTCTGCTTCTTTGGTTTAGTCGCACAGCAGCAAGGCTAATATAGCAGAACTTAGGTGACGGACTTCCTTTGTTTGTAGATGCATCAGCCTTTTAGCTGTAGAAGAAAACTAAAAGGTGCCTAAGCTGTGTAACTTTGATCTTCTCTACATCAAAACTGGTCCACAGAGCCAGCGTTTTGTTCTAACAGGACAGGGCAGAGTCAAAAGGAGCACGACTGTAATAACCGCTCTCATGTGTTTTACGGCGCTTCCACGGCGACCAAACGAAGACCAACTAACCCCAACACATTCCAGAGACTACAGTCAGCTCTAGCACAGTCTGGAAAAACAAACGTCAAGCCAAATCCACTCGTGTGAATGGGAGAGAACGTTCTAGAGCAGGTTTTCCCTGCTCTAGTTCTGGAGAGCCTTAGTCTAGCACTATTTGGTGAGTTATGTAAAAATAACTAACATTATTTTTGGTATATAAAACTACATGAATGTTAGAAGTGAACCTCAGGGGGTCGGGGATCATACAAATAAGCAATACATGATGATATGGGAATCATGTCGGCATCAGCACGAATTAGAAAAGAAATTACAGTCGTTCACACCAGACAGAAGTTTAGGTTTGACCAATATTTGATAATTACCGTTACATTTCTCAGTGATGGTAAATAAGGGTGAAATTAGCCCTGAATTATTGAGTTTATAAATGTTTATACAGGGTGATTCAAAAAGACTCAAAGCGCCATATTTTTACAACCGTGAGGAGCCTAGGAACCAATCACAATCCAATTGAAAGAGGGGGTCATAGTTTCTGACTGTCACCAGAAGATGGCCCCCTTCAGTCTGCGAGGAGATGAGACCCCTGAGCAGAAAGCGTTCTGCGTTCTCCTCTTTAATAAGAGTGAATCCGTCGCAACTGTGCAGTGTGATTTTCGTGGGCAGTGAAGCTCCAACAGCTCAGAGCGTTCGGCGTTGGTTCCACAACACTGGATGATCTCCGAAATCGCACCGAAAGAGCCGTGAGTGCAGCGACACCCGACATGCTCAATCCAGTATGGGATGAATTTGACTATGGCGTTGATGTTGTCTGTACAGCTGGAGGAGGTTCATACTGAGACCTTGTACAATTACATAAACTTTATGCTCAGTTAAACTATTTACAGTTTACTGCATTGTTCTGTAACGATTTACAAGTGAAATAAATCATTTTGAAATCGGATAAATCTTGAATCACCCTGTATATCGGCATCAAAAAAATATCAGATATCGGCACTGACACACATTTCCTATAATCGGAGCAACCCTAAATACACACAATACGAAAAACTTACCACATAGGCCCCTTAAAACACAAAAACCCCTATAAAATTTGGTCATGGACACCATGAGAACACGCAATCCCACCCCTAGACTACAGTGAAGAGATGTGTGCATGTTTCCTCCTTACCCGATCCTTCTCGTGTGGCAGCAGGCGGACAGGGGGCAGCGAGTCTAGCGAGACGCAGCCGGTGCCATCGCTCTGGGAGCTACGGCTGACCAGCCTGAAGAGCGGCCCCTGCTTGGCCACTCGCCCGTGGGCTACGGCTCGCTTCAGCGCCAGCCTGAGCTGCTGGTGGAACAGGCCGGGCCCCATGGAACCACTGCCCGAGAGGTAGCCGGCCACATCGGCCTGGCACTTTAGGAAGCGCTCGATGCTCTTCAGGGACGAGCCTCCAGCCTCGTGGAGCCCCTCCAGGGCGCGTTTGATCAGCTTGTTCCAGTCCAGGCCTGGTTTTTTGGAAGAACTAGAGGTGCTGCTGCTTCCTCCACCTCCACCTCCACCTCCACTGCCACCTCCACCCCCACCCCCACCTCCACTTCCACCTCCACCACCGCCTCGTGGCTTGGGAAGAGCCAGACGGCCCGGATTGTCCGGATCCTTGTAGGAATTGAGGCCCTTGTTGGAGACCTTGAGGATGGACCCATCTTTGACGCTGAGCTCGAGGTGCTCCAAGACCGTTTTGCGGTCCAGGCCGTGCGACATAGACACAGCATTGCAGATCCGCTCCTCTGAAGGCCTTTGCTTTTGCTTCTTGACCTTCCTGATGGCCTCCAGGATCCAGCTGGTGTACAGCGGATTAGCTAGCTTCACCATGGCTGCGTTTGGGTACAAACAAACACTCAAACAAACACAGAAAACCGTTCAGGAAGCACCCAGAGGCCTGAGCCCTGGAGCTGCCTGTTCCTCACCCTACTCCTCCTCCTCCACGTCCTGGGAGGCTATCCTTTGTCCCTGGGCCGTGTGGAAAGTCTCTCAAAGCCGGAGCAAAAGCAATGAGGCAGAGGGCTGATCACCATAGCATAAGCTTTCCCCCCCACCAACCCCCCCAACCCAAACACGAATCCTGCTACCCCAGCAACCCCCCTCCCGCCACGCTGGGTAGCACCAGAGCAAAGAGAGAATGCCCAATAGCGGCAGGAGTCCGGCACAATTCCTAAGAACGCAAACGTCCACACTGGCTCTCTTTCCACTTCTCTTAGCCTCCAAATCAACAGAAAGATGATGTAGTGTTATCCAGTAAAGTCAGAACGTCTTTTAGGTGAACTCTTTGTTCTGGAAAAAGGAAGAGAAAAAAGTAAAGAAAAAAATAAAAATCAACTATTCAGAGAACGTGGACTTCATTCAGCAGTTTCCCTCTTTGTTGTCTTCCACTCTTTCTTTATCCTTCTACGTCCACACTTTTTCACAGGTGGTCCAGAACAGATCTTTCACTCGATGGGCGATCACCTCATGCCAAGACGCTCTTCAGCCGCTGCTGAACCCTGTACACACAGAAACAGATATTAGAGACAGTGGCAACCAACATTTTGCAACATTTAGATGCTAAAAAAGGTGATTTTCTACTGTTGTACAGGACCACAATGGCAACCCCATCCCTACATTTATGATTTTGTGAACTTCTGAACACATTCATGTGCGTTCAAGACAACGTCCAAGTGTGTCCCATTTCTTACATGTGCAAAACAGCCACCTTTTCCCAAATACCACATCAAAGCTAAGTATATATATGTAGTATTTGACCAAATATACAGTGACATTTGTCGCTGCTGTTGGAAGAAAACCTCGTATCTCCATTTTTCAGTTTTTGACATAATTTGAAGATGCTTTTTTCCCTTTATATTGGGTGTAAATTTCAGGAAGAATGGACCAAAAGAAAAGCCTAAAATGACTTGGAAAAAAGTCTGGTTCCATTGACTTACTTTGAAAGTAAAGTAGCTTTTTCCTTCTCCTGTAAAGTTACCATTTTGGAGATTTCTTCCGACAACAGCGATATACAAGGTTTAACACCCTAGTCAAACTATGTTTCATTTATTTTCATTTATTTAAGTGAAAGTTAACACATCCCCTACATGGAACACATTTATATCATTTAAATATATTTAAAATACACGATTTTTCTGCCAATTTTAATGCACAATTTCTACAATTTACCATACAAGATGAGCCAGAATTTTTGCACAGGCCGTATTTCATGTTCTATTGTTTCAATTACGTTCAATTTAGCAAATAAACAGTAATTGTGCATTAAAATGCACAGAAGTGCCCTCTCTGCAGAGAACGTCTTCACATATTCACAACTAGAAAATCAACAAAACATGTCATCTGACCAGGGGAGCCCAAACTTCTGCATACGGCTGTACACATCCCACAATTCAGCAAGCTGGTGACATTTCAAAACGCTGTCTCATAAACAATGAGGAAGTTTGTTACAAAAATCGCTCGAACCCACAAATACACACGCTTGCACTGTGAGTGCCTGCACACTTCTGCTAAATTCGTAAACAAGTCACAGAAGCGTGTGGACTCTGACAGACCAAACAAGTCTCTGAGAGTGCTTTCCTTGACAGTCTAGCAAAGATATAATCTTGTTTTTATGGTAGAGATGGGGGGGGTGGTAAAAATACAACAGTTTACTTCAAGAAGTTTTCACAAGACACAATGTGTCACAACATATTTTTTCTGATACCTGAAATTGGTATACAACATTATTATTACTACTCCTGCTACACATACAATGATTTAAAGTCAGGATTTCACATTCAGCACTGCACTAAATCCAATCAGGCTTTCTTTGTAATCAAACATGCAGTCGGGTGGTGCTTTTTGAGTAGTGACGATATCCACAATACACTCAGAAAAGCATATTAGGACATTATGATATTTATCACAATAACACTAAACACGATCATATTGCCCAGACCTACCAAGTAAACTAAACTAAAGCCAAGCATCTCAGAATGCGGCTCTAGGCTCAGCTTCTGTTCCTGAGTGCCTCAAAAGACATCTGGACCTCACTGTGGGACAACTTTGCACCTCAAGAACCTCAATAACTCCAAACATCAGAAACCTTTCCCTTTCCACTACATGCAAATACTGACAGGTGTGTAAATAAGCTGACCTGCACTGATGAATGCACACCAGACACGCCTCCTGCACACTGATCTACTGAACAAACCGAACTGCACGAAAGGAAAATGCCTCTACAGCCACAGTGTCCTCTCATATCTGTCCCTCAAACACTGTCTTTTAAACTATTAGGGAAAAACTCATGAGTCAGCAAGACAAACTTGAGAACATGCTGCAAAAAAAGATACGGCCATCAGTGAAAGGTGTGATCCGTATTTTGTCACCTCTATAAAAATGACAGGACCTGCACTTTAAATAAAAAGTCTTGCCTTTCAGTTCATATAAGACTCTTAAGGATTTGAAAAACATGATTTGGATCAATGCAGATCAATGTTATTGTAAAATGCACAGATGCATGGTAAACTGATTGTTACAGCAAGACAGTTCCACAAAATGTACAACATATGTTTTGTTTTCTTGAGATTTGATAGCACCAGCAGCATGTATATATATATTATATATATATATATATATATATATATATAAAATGCAAAGGTACTTTCTCCAAAATGGTAACTTTACAGGAGAGAGCAAAAACGCCCTTAACTTTCAATGTAAGTTAATGTAAAGGGATCTTATTCTAACTGATTTTGAGGCATTTCTATTGGTCATCATGAAATTTTCACACAATGTAAAGGAGAACTGCCTTTTTTTCTTTGGACAGCGACGATATATATATATATATATATAGTAAGTTGCATTTACCCAATTAAACAGGGCTAATTATGCCATTATTAGAGAGAAGTTGGTTGGTCAGTGTTACTTAAAAGGGAAATCATTGGATAATCCAACTGCTGAGTTGTAAACAAAGTCAACACTGTTCGTAGTGGTGGTGATATGAACCAGACATCCAAAACGTTCAATACCTCTAAAAGCCCCCTCAGTTAATAAATGAGATGGTTATGAATACGCTCCCTGATGACCACGTTTGTTTTGTGATCGTTCTGAGAGAATTTGGCCTAAAACATACTTTCCAAAAGTGATTTATGGCAGAAAGGTACATACAGACCTAGATCTGTGTAAGGCAAAACAGTACTCTATCAACATCACCTATCAAAGCTCAGAGGATTGTAGGTTAGCTGGTCATTTCGAACAGGAAATAAAATGTCTATAACTGAGTTGCAGACATTGTGACGCCAGGTTCCTATCACCACCACTGTAAAGACATCTGAGTCTGTGAGTTTCTCTACAGTGAACAATTCCACACCGTTTACATCTCAATGACTGGACGGCACAGAAATTTTTGAAAAGTCAGTGGAATTCCCCTTTAAGTACTAACAATATCCCAGACAAACTCATAAGCATGTTTTAATGCAATGTATAACAATAACAATAAAACTCGTATTGCTCGCAATGCATTTACTTGGGACAAATCACATTCTTGAAGGACCAAAACAAGAGAGCACTTAAAGGAGAATTCCCCCAATTTTCCAAAATTTCTGCATAATTACAGGGTTGAGATGTAAACAAAGTCATTCAGAGTGGTTTGGTGTGAAAACGCTCCGTTCTAGAGAAACTGAGGCAGAACTGTTCACAGTAGTGGTGATAGGAACCAGACTTCCACCTCTAAAAGCTCCCTCGCAAAAAGTTAATACATGAAATTGTTATGAATTCATTGTCTGATGTCTGAGACACTGTTTTATGCGAGTTCTACAATAAAGTTTTGGCTCAAAACATATTTTTAAAGTACATTCATAACAGAGGGGTACATGCAGGGTGTCATAAGTCAAAATAGCACCAAAATAAAACCTATTTTTTCTGATTTACTACTATTTTAACATCAACACCCAGAGAAAAGCTCAGAAGAGGTGCAGAAGTTCACTGGTGGTTTTGGATAGTAAATAAACAGCTATTTGTGTTGTAGACATCGTACCTATGGTTCCCATCACCACCATTGTAAAGAAATCTGAGTCGGTAAGTTTCCCTACAGTGAACCACTCTGAATGAGTCTGTTTACATCTCAGCGGTTTGATTCTGCAGATATTTTTGACGAATCAGTGGAATTCCCTTTTAAGTCATCTACAACCATGAAACACGGACCAATCCACACATTACAAAAACAGGCTTTATCTTACAAACGTCTTGGCCCACAAAGTCTGAGGAAGCCTTTCAATTGTTTTTATGACCCAATGGTGTCTATTAGACAGACAGAGCTGAGACAGAAGTGCACTATTTGGAAAGCAGCTTAACATAGGATGTAAACAGCAACTGCAAACCATGTTTGTGACCAGGAACAAGTGTATGTTATGGCTGTGAGCAGGTCACAAAACTGACTGGGTTATGTTTCGGAGTATATTTGCCAACAAAACAAAATTATGGCACAAAGGCTCACATGCAGGCTGTGAGGGCTCTATTTTTGGGATATCAACAAGCCTCGGGAGCAAGACGGAAGTCCCTAACCAAAACAAAACCAACCCTTCACAAACAGACCACAGTTTAACGTCTTGCTGAATCAAAAGATCATAATATCCCACTTATAGAAGTTGAACACTTCTTAATTTACTCTCTACTTCGATACAGCTCGATTCACCTAACGTTAACCTACTTTCAAACAACTACTAGCTAGCCAAGTCCCTCAGTCAGTCAGCATAACTTGGTGGTTTTAGCCTGTTTAACAGCCAGAAATGATCCACATATACCCTAAGAGTAAACAAATGACGGTGAAATAACAGAAAACTTAAAATATCTTAGCAAAGAAAGGCAAAACGTGCAATAAAAAACCATAAACAACAACACTTAGCAGGCTACGCTAGCAGAAATACAGCGCTGGACAACCACTCGTGTTAGATATCTTACATTTCTTCAGAAAAAAATATATTTTATACACTCCTAAACGGTCTAAAATATAAGTTTACCTCCCTCTATGCCTTCTTAGGCTGGTTAACGTGAGATTTTGGTGAAGCACACAGAAGCTAACCTGCTACAAACCTTCCCGCTATCGGGGGTTGCTCCTCCTGGTTAGCTTAGCATCCACAAAACAGGCAAAAAAGACACAGAAAAAAGAGAAAAAACTGAAAACGTAGCGTTGTCGTCTGCGGGAAAAGACAACAGCGGTTCGACACGAACAGCAAACGGCGATGAAACAACTACAGCTGAATAAAAATGTATTTTGTATCAGCGCAGCCGAAAACACACGAAGGAAAACGCGTCTGTTTTCGTGCGTTAGCTTAGCCGTAGCGTTAGCCTTAGCGTTAGCTTTAGCCGATCTCCCACTGAGAAGCCCGCGGCCTGCGGACACACACAATGCGAGCATAAGGCGAGGAGAAGCGGCGCGATTTCTTGTTTATTTCTCTCGTTTAGCCCCGCATTCCCGCACACACACCATCTCATTCTGTACGCAGACAACCTTAAATAAACAACAGCCCACGTTCGTGAATGAGGGGGAATTATTTTTAAAACGAAAACATCCCGATTCCTCCCTCCCTCCTTCCCTCCCTCCTCCTCCTCCTCCTTCTCCTCCACGAAGCTGAAGTCAGCTTCTTGCCCGAATTTTCCCGTTCCACCTTAAACGGCGCAGCGGTTACATTCTGGCGCCCGAGGCACCAGAACGTAGGTGCTGAACGTAACTGCTGCACCATTTAAGGTGGAACGGCAAAATTCGAACAAGAAGCTGGCGAATAGGAAGCCAACTCCTCCTCCTCCTCCTCTTTCCCCCCCACTTACATTTTTACGCGGCCTCAAATCTCAGTCTAAGCGCTTGAAAATACACAAAATTGCTTTTTGCGAACCCGTACTTACTGCACTTACAAAGCCCTCCCGTCTCCTGCTTCTCCCCTTCCCCGGCTACCACTCAGTACCTCCTGCTACCACCCACCGTCCTCCGTCCTTCTCCAGCACGGAGCGGTGCAGCGCAGGAGTGGAAGCCGAGCAACGCGACGCGGGCCCCGGCTTGATCTCCCCGCTTTCCCCGCTCACTGCGCCCCCTACCGGTTGTCCGTCTCTCCGTAGCCCCGCGTTTCCCCCCCTCCACCAACCCCCAGGTTGGGTTGTTTCAAACCGGGACGGACCCTCTCTCCCCCCTCCCTCCCTCCATAAAAATAATAAACAAACAGAAAAGCGCTTTTTAAAGCAGGTCTAATCACCCTCGCTGCTCACCGGGCTTTGGAGGTCGAGTCGCCGTGGAGAGAGCGCCAAGGAGCCGAGAGGAAGGCGGACAACAACAAGCCCAAAGCAGCGCAGCCAGAGAGCGGAGGCTCCGGAGCGGCCGCCATCTTTGAGTGAAACAGGAGCGCTGGTGGAGGAGGAGGAGGGGGGAGGAGGAGGAGGAGGGGAGAGGGGGGGGCAAGACGGGGCGGAGGGAGGGACAACAAACTCACAGTCCCTGTTCGGAAGCGAAGGGACGTGTTTGAGAGTGTGAAGGCATTGACTGCAGCTAAACGGACGGGCTAAGGCACCGTCCTCAAACCAACTCTAATCCTTTAGAAACGAATAATGGCACGTTTGAGTAAGGGGGCGAGTAGTCTCATCCAGTGTGAGAAATACTCCCTTGTATTCAGGGATCCCTAGGGTCCACAGTAGGCTGAACACTTGAGTCTTACTTTGGTAGTACGAAATATTAATGAACAATTTAAAATGCTCACTTAAATCCTTAAAATGCTTTAAAATGCTTACTTTTTCTATTTGCTTTGCTTTTTTTTTCATTTTGGAGGGGAGCTAAAGCAGTGCAGAGCAGGAACATTTCTATTCACACCAGAAACAACAGGAAAAGAGTGAGATAATTGACCGCTTTGCTGTAGCGCCACATTGCTGATGCGGTTAGTTCAGTTAGATGAGTGGAACCTCATCATTTCGAGGGTAAACAAAGTAAAATGAAACAACTTTTTTATTCTTATGCAGGTTTTCATTTTCTTGCAAACTAAGTGGGGTCATCCATGATACCATATTATTAACCCTTTAATGCTATATTATTAAAATAAAGACTTTGTGGCATTCAGGGGGTTCAAAGGGTTAATTAGGGAATCCCAGACCCCCCCAGGACCCCCTGTATTTTGCACCTTGGTCTCATTCTATATCTCTATTCTATGCTCATTCAAGACAACTGGGAGCTTCCTCCTTCCCACCTCAAAGCGTTCAGCTGTTTGAGGGCAGGAAAAGTGGACGCTCACAGTAATCTATCATCTGTTTGGCTGGTGTGGGCTTTTAAAGAGCTCTTAAAAAGTGTTTACGCTGGAGGTAAAGCGTTGTTTGATTATTGCTTGTTTTGTTAGTAGGTTATGGCAGTTCATTATTAATGTTGTGGCATTCACCACAACTTAATGTTCTTCCTCGCTTTTGCAGAAGTCATGGTGCTTTATTTTCCAGCTGTTGTCGGCCACAGCCACGCCATACACGAGCAAGGTTTTCTCTAACAACTCGTTCTCTACCCAGCTCTGTCTCTCCCTCTCTCTCTCTTTGCATACACATACACACACATCTCCTGGTGGTTCCTAACCCTGCCCCGTCCAATCAGAGTCTTTAGCAAAACGAACCCAGTGCAGTAAATGCTGGAGAACATATACAACATGCCAAAACATTTATTGAACAGGCCACAATATATATCACTGAAAGAAGTAGCATTACTGAGTCAGGAGAATGAAAACACACTTTAATATGGTGAGCGTGAGCTGCTGAGAGTCGCCCTGTAAAGTCTAAAAGTCAGAGGTGTTGAGTTGGGACATTTTCGGACCGTCACAAGTCTTTTAAGTCACGTTCACAGACTCAAAAAGAAGGTCTGGCTCAATGTTTAGGTTTAAAATTCTTCAAAATGAACATTATAGTGAAGCTATGATGACAATAGTAGATCACTCACATCCTCGCAAGACGCGTCCTTCAAGTTTTGACTGAGTTCTCTTTGAATTCTCTTTCAATGTGCTGAAAGTCTCCAAATCCCCAAATCTTCTAGAGCTCAGCTTTAAAAAATCTTGTACCAAATCATGTAAGCTTGGAATTATCCAAGTATCTCTTCATATGTAGCAATATCATACACATATAGCATATAATAAGCAAATATGAACTGAAAACGCTTCTTAAAAAGGCTTAAAACATGCTGTTGCTTCTTGTTCTATGGGCACAACCTTGTTGAAGTCACAGAACTGCAACTGGAAGAAGTCGAAGCTCTTGAGAAACTCCATTTTCCCAAGTGGGAATTACGAGTTGGAGGGATATTCAGATGGATTTTTCCTACTTGGAGGTCAGAAACCTCCCAGTTCCTACTTGGTTATGAACGCAGCATAAGCCGATCACAGTTTCTGGGATTTTGTCCGTTCCTTTCTGACTGGCTTTCCGCACCACCATGTGTACGCAGGTCTGATCACACCAACAGTTTGTTTTGGCTGGAACTGTTAACATATTTTGGCAGTTTTAAGAACTGTCTGTAGTAGTGTAGGCTGAAACCCAGCTGCAGCACGTGATCGGCCAATTCCCCATCACTTAATAATCCGATAACTGCAGAAAATCAGATTTTGTCAGTAATCCGATCAATGTGTTTACATGCACTTGAGTAAGTCGCTCTGGATAAGAGCGTCTGCTAAATGCTGTAAATGTAAACGTAAATGTTGAGTAATCAGATAATGGGGAAACTCCAGGTCTACATGAGTCAGACAGTAATCAGATTTCTGCTTTACAACCAGCCAATAAACTCACAGAAGAAGACGTGGTGTAAACATAATGTAAAATTCAAACTTCATGCCGTGGCTTTTTTTCAACAACATTGAATATTCAAATCCTTTATTTTGTCGAGAAGGTAGTCGGTTTCAGCGTCGCTCCAAAAGTGTTTTGCTGAGTCTCGCGGCGACTTCTGGTACAGCAGTCTGTTCCACACATGCGCAGACTGAGAAATATGAAAGAAATCAGAGTAAGAGTTTACATGCACTGAAAAATCTGATCACTGAGCTAAAATCCAGCTCTCTTTATCAAATTTCCTAATCAGATTTCTAGATCGGAGTATAGTGTTTACATGACAATTTGAATAATTGGATAACTGCAGATGTCATTATTATGATCGGATCATTGAGTGTCTGTAAACGCACTCATTGTAATTATGCTGGCAGTCAAGTTAATGTGTGAGGCCTTCAGTTCAGCTCCTAAGCAATGGGAGAGCTCGCCTGGCTGTATCTGCCCTTTTGTTTCCAACCAAAAACTTACCAATGAAAGAAGAATATGTCTACAATAATTTCAGAGTTTAAATGCAACACTAATGATGATTATATTAAATAAAAATGAACAAAAAAATGCATTTCTGATCATTTTAAACAAATCATTAGGCCTTCTCTGAGAGCGTCCCACTGGTGTGTGGTGGGCAGTAAAAGGCATGATAAGGAACTCCACAGAAATAAATGTACGTGTGTATTTGTGGAGGATAAGCCAAAATTCACCGCAGAGAAGGAGGGACCTCAGTGGTGATAGTAGCAGCAGTGATGGTGGTGGGGGTGGGAGGGGGGTGTACTGTTGCAGATCTGAAGGGCGACATGTCCCACTGTGTGAGAGTGTGTGTGTGTGTGTGTGTGTGTGTGTGTGTGAGGACAGAAAAGCGGGAAAGACGAGAGGTGTGCTCTTCTGCTGCTAAGGCACATGCACATGAAGCCGAGTAAGGGAGTGTCTGGATTTTATCCATTGCAGTTGAGTGAGGAGAGAAGAAATTAAAGCAAAAGCAGTGTGATTTTTAGTGAGGGAGTGATTTTTTAGTGCCCAGTGTTTTTCTTCCAATCTGTTTACTGTTGTTTCACTGTACTACATAAATGTGATTATTAGTGCAGCCAAAGTTAACCCCTTAAAATCCCAGGCTTATTACATACTAAGGCTTATCATCGAGCTGGACCCTCTTTTTGAGCCTGTACATGTGACATATGTAAAGATATACAGGGCTTTACAGGGCGACTCGCAGCAGCGCAAACACAGTCTCTGTCTTTTCTGCTGACTCAGTATTTCTTTCAGTTGTAACAGAAAATCTTACATAGTGCAGCTTTAATCTTCCTCGTAAACCTCTCCTACTTGTATGCCAGCTGCATTATTCATATATGTACATGAGTTCGTAGACCCCTGCTCATCCAGCTTCCTTCTCAAATCAAGGACATCAAAAGGGGAATCCCCCCAATTTTTCAAAATTTCTCCATAATTCAACCATTGAAATGTAAACAAAGTCATCCAGAGTGGTTTGGTGTGAAATGCTCAGTTCTAGAGAAACTATACTAGAGTTTCATAATAAAGCTTTGGCCAAAATTTTTTTTTTAAAAAACATGTTAATGGTACAGACATAGAGGCAAGATAGTACATCGCAAAAAAGTATTGTTTATGAGTTGATAACATCAAACTACTCAGAGATCTTGGCCATTAGATCATGCAGAAATTTTACAAATTTGGTGGAGTTGCCCTTTAAATAGGGAATTTGTTTCCCTTTGCTGCAGTAACAGCCTCTACTCTTCTGGAAAGGCTTTGCACTAGATGTGGGAACATTGCTGTGAG